AACTTCAGATAAGCATAAAGTCGTCAATTTTTAAGCGAAACAAATGAAACTGACAATTAGGTTCAGGGTATCAGGGCCAAGCTTTTATATGAAATGATTTTCGTATATGTCTGATGCCCCCTTGTGCCATTTTCGGGGGCAACCCTATCCTAGAAACCTATGACCGAGAACCCACATATATGAATGGGCATAACTGTTGCGTCATAAAATAGCATGTATCCCTACGCCACAACCTACGACCAAAACGCCACAACCTGTGACCAAAATCCCAAATTTACGAATAGGCAAAACTCTGCACAGCTTCGTCATAAAATGGTAAATTTGGTGTCTGAACTAATGTTTTTGGGGTCAGTATTTCATTTGAAGATATGTTCAGTGGTGTTAATTGGCCCTTATACCATTTTCGGGGCACTTTATCGCGTACTGGCATATTTGGTATGTACATGTTTTGAGTGGTCACCCATGCTGTAGTGGAAAATAGGTAAAGCAAGACAAGCAAAAAGGTACGTAATGAATCATTTACCAATTTGCTCTACATAGAATAAACATTGGGTTGTTTTTCATTAAATGTGCAACTTTTGCTAACATACGCCCCAATATCCGATTGCTAGGCTATACAACATTATAGTTCGCATCGGATAAACTGTTATACATCCGCAGAAACTATAGGAAAGGAAAAAGTTCAATACATGTGGGTGCTGCTTTATTTGATGAATTTAAGTTAAGAGGGAGTTGAAATGTTGTAAAGGCGTCTGCAGATGCTTATGTCGATATGATAAAGATAGCTATTGAAGTTGTAGATTTGTAGTCCATGAAATTGATTGGGGAGGAGGCATATATTCTGAGTGATACTGCAGGAGCAAATACTAAGATTATATTTTCATTCAGACAAAAAGAGCGATAAATCCGTGTATGGTATAGTCTGTCTAAAGAAACTTCTCACATCAAGAGTATGTTTCCAAGCCCCTTTTTCACACGTTCAGTTGGTGTGATAGCACATGCAGGATTCATGGCATTGACCAAAAATTGTTGTTCCAAAAGCTTATTAAAGGAGGTCATGTAACAGTAACAGAATGTGCAATATAGACCGTTTATTTCGTACTATTACGTCATGTCTTTCTGTGGTCGCCATCTTATAGTGGAAAGTGATAATACTGCGCTACAAGCACCTTCCTCTCGTCCCCAAAGAAACTGTGTTCATGAACTATCATGATAATATTTCCAGGGCAGTTTACAATAGCTATAAGATGACAACCACAGAAAGACATGGCATAACAGTACACCATAAACTGTCCATGTTGCGTCATTGTAATGCCTGGTGTAATTTTTATGGCTTAAAGACACTTCAGTCTCATGCTCTGGTAACATCTATATAGATTTATAGGGAATAAAACCAAAAGTTTAAATGTTTTAGTACGTAGATGTGCCGGTCGTCATAGTATGTCATTATATGGCTATATTACGTCATATTACTTTTAATGGAGTCATTTGACATTTTGATATTATATTCATATATGTTCATTATACATATAGGGTCTTAAACCAACCATTTGGGATTTTCTTGAACATTGAGTAGTCGAATGTCGGCCATCTTGGATTTTACCACTTTTTACTCCTTTCCGGTGCGCAAAATTTGGTAAACTTTTGGGATGTTATAAAGTACATCAAAGTAAACTCAAAAATGCATTAAAACCTTTTCTTGCAATTTTTGGGGGGTAAAATCATAAATTGACTGGACTACATGTTGAAAGCAAACGCAAAGGTTATGCGATCTGGCCTGGAAAGTTTGTAATTTTTTGGAACATTTTCTCGCGTTGTGTTCACGTTTGCCGGCGACCTTGTGCATTTTCTGGTCGCTATACTATACGGTCTGACGGGGGGTATTAAAGCGGAAATTGCAAATTTTCTAAGAAAGTCAAAACGTAATTATTTCTATGTCTTTTGCTCAATAGGTTGTCAACTCACAATTATACGATCATAGGTGTCATTGTCACACTTAAGATTCATTTACACAGGAAATAATAACACAATTACCTCCCAATTACCTCCCTTGTTTTCTATTCTCCACCATGGAGTAGCGATATTCAAACGTTTGAAAATGAAGAGGAAAATGATATTTTTGCCAATTTCTCAGCTGTCAATAGTGAATTATAGGATTAATGGGATTATTCTTTAACAAGGTAGGACTGTTTATGGATACCATCTATTTTCAGGCTTTATTTTAATAAATTTTAAAAATATAACTTAAAAATTTGCAATTTCCGCTTTAATCCATAAAAAGACATAATCGTGAAAAACACTGAGAACAACATTTAGTACACGCGGTAAATGCCTGACACACAAACACAACTAGAACTGTATTGAATAAGTTGTATATTTGATTACAAAGTTCGGTTTTAAGATATTTTTTAAAAACTTTAATATAATTTGCGCTTTTGGTTTCGATTGATATTGAATTCCATAAATCTGGAGCACCGATTGCGAATGATCTTTCACAGGATCTGGTTTTTGAAAAAAGCTTAATTAAAACGTTGTCTGGCTGCGATCGAGGGGTTCTGCAAGGTTTATTAGTGTTTCTACGGTATTGAGGTGAGGAATCGTCATACACCGCAGGATATGTAATAGACAGTACTTTAGAACTGATACGTTGGCGGACTGGAAGCCAATGGAGATCTTTCAGAATTGGTGTCATATTATGTTCATTTGATTTAGTCTTGGTTATTATACAGTAGTCGAGTCATGATTTAACCATGGTTTTAACCAGCATTTTAGTCGTGTCATTATCAATGAAAGATCTAATTTTTCCAATATTATAAATCTGAAAATAAATAATTTTACACATGGCCGAATTTGTTATTTATGTCCAGATTAGAGTCAAAATAAACACCAAGATTGTTTTTTTACAGCATCTATTGTTTTTAATAGAGGTATTGCCAATTTGATAGTTTTCTGTATTAGATTTTAGTAGCTGCTGACTGCTGCCGACTCTCATTATTTCTGAATTCATAGGCGTACGAGCCAGGGGGCAGAGGGGGCAGCTGCCCCCCCCCCCTAACTTTCGGGCAAGCTGCCTTTTCGGGCAGACGGGTAAAGTGAAAACAAAAATTTATTTCATCTACTTGGCAAATAAAGTGCCCGAAATCTAATAAAACACTAATTTTACGAGCCGAATCACAGGAAAACGCGTTTGCGGCTGTCAAATATTCCAAAATTTTCTTGCGGGGTCCATACAAGGTCAGTTCCGCTTCTTCGCCTCTCGAAGAAAACCGGCGCCGCTGTCTGTAAACTCGAAATTTTTTCGGGCATTTCTAGCTTCCCTTACTGTTATCGAGCCCTAATATAACACTAATTTTTACTTTTCTTTTAATTGAATGCCACGAATTTGTACAGAGTTGACTATGGATTAAAAAATGTTGCCTGGAGTCACTCTACTCTGTGCGACATTTTTCGGGCATCGATTATTATTTGTGAATGCAGCTGCAACAGTCTGATTGGATACTTTTGGAGTTTACACGTGTTAGAATAGCAGAAAACGCATTTGCGGTGGTTAAATTTTCAAAATTTTCTCCGGGAGGGTATACCCCCGAACCCAGCGACGATTGATTGGTTGTTTGGAATTCCGGTCAGCCAGGTAGGTTATATTGGACCAAATTGAAGTTGCTGTATTCACAGGCTGGAATAGCAGGAAAACGCGTTTGTTGCAGTTAAATTTTCAAAATGTTCTCCCAACGGCCCCGTCTTCGTGGACTGTAAACGATTGATTGGAATTCGAATCAGCCACCTGATGGGTGGGGGGGGCAAGGTAAGCTTCTCTCTCTTCGCCTCTCAAGGAAGACAGGCGCTCTCTGTAAACCCGAATTTTTTTTCGGGCATATCGCGTTCTGCCCCCCCCCCCCCACTAGCTGTCATCGAGCCCGTACGCCTATGTTTCTGATTCGTTTGCAAAACCTTTCTCAATAACTTTTGAAAGAAAAAACAAAAGGTTAGAAACCGGTTTGTAATTCTTTAGTAATTATTTATCAAGTTGGGCTTTTTTAATAGCGGAAACACTAAGTCTCTTTTAGAACCTCCGGCATACAGACAGAAGCCAAAGAAGAATTCACAATATCCACGATAGGTTGGACCAACACGTCAAGACACTGATTTAGTAGCCAAGTAGGAATGGGATCTAAAGTGCACGATGCTGATGATGTTCCTTTGATGATCTTGCTTATATCTAGATAAAATACGGTTTTAAATGATGAGAATTGCACACCAGAGTAAGTGTTGCTACCCCGAGGACCAGCCAGTGGAATTGTGCCAAGACCTGGTTGTATAGTATCATCATTGGTAGTGCAAACAATTTAACAAAATCGTTTGCCATATCTTCAGAATCCCGATTAACTGGTAGAGTGTTTATTGCCCAGTCCTTATTTGGGATTTTATTGATAATCTTGTGATAATCGTATTACCACGATTCTCAGGAATACTGACATAAAATGGCGACGTTTTGCATTTCTTATTGGGACAACGTACAAAGCGCGACGAGGATGTAGCAGCAAGAAATTAACCACGCAGCCACCATGCTCAAGCACTTTCGGGCTCTATACCAATGATTATGATTCGTCCGTCGTTGAAAATCATCGACAAATAATCATTGGTGTGAACAGATCTTTAAAGATGGGTTCCCAGAAAAGTATTTATCGGATGGTTATATCCAATAAAAGTATGGCAATTTTGGTATATATGGAAAGTAGAGATATCCAATCTTACTAGAAAAATACTGGATTTACCGAAAAACACTCATTGAGCGTATATAGGACAAAAATGTAAGGGTTTCCCTAATCATCAGCCCGACGTTTAGGAACTTCTGTACGCATGATGTCAAAGGTCACAAGCGAACACTGAGCGCTTGATGTACAAGTTGATAAACTTTATGAAGAGTTAGACGTACAATACTTTCTGAGATAAAAATGACGGAAAAAGACGCGGGTAGTGGATAATCCTAGATTTAATTAGGATTCGATATCTGTAATAAATAGTAAGCGATTAAAGACAACATCGTCTTATGTATGCAATGATTTCTCCTCTGACTCCCAAGACGTGACGTAAACGTGACCTGGTTTGATCGAATTTTAATAGCAGGGCATTCCTTCGCAATTACAATGTTTGAGAAGGATCTGAAGCATAATTATGACAAATTAATTAGTTTGAATATGTTTTTGGTCCACATATACCATTAAATCACCCAGTTTCTACGCGGGAACCCATCTTTAAATGTATAACTTCTTTTTATGTTAATATAGGCTATCTAACTTCTACATTACTACATGTATATACAGATACACTCTAATCCTATTGACCTACAGTAAACTGTGTCGTACACTAAGTGTGTCAACAGACAAAGACAGGAGATAAAACTGACGCAATTCAATAATGGGTTTTGAAGACAGAGATGGATATTTATATTGCGAAAATGTTTGCCTTAAAGACTTACAAGAACAGTTAAAAGATGCCGGAATTTTTCCAGAGTCACCCGTGTTTGTATACAGCAAGGATCTTATACTGAATAATGTGAAGGCATACCAACAGGCATTACATAACCTTCCAAACGATACGGGTTTAAACTTTTCTGTGAAAGCCAACACGAACCCACATTTATTACGAATACTTCGAGATGAAGGATGCTCCGTTACACTTGTCAGTGGTAATGAACTTCGTCTTGCTTTACAAGTTGGTTTTACTCCGAGTCAGATGGTCCTGAATGGAAATGGAAAATGTCGATGGGAAACCAGGCTTGCCGTTGAGACTGGTTGTTTAATTAATGTGGATAGCGAATTCGATTTAAAACAAACCATAGAAGTCAGTAAGGAGTTAAATCTAGAAGCCCGAGTGTTGTTAAGAATTAACTTGAATATAGATGCAGTAAGTATAAGTGTTACCTACATCAAGTATTAACAGTCAATATAACTAGAGTGTGTGTGTGTGGGGGGGGGGGGTCTACTTGGCTGGGTTTTTTTTTAAATTATTTGTTAGCATAATAATTAGTGGTGTACCATCAAAGTCCAGAATTATCCCTCCTTGGACCCCATTTATTGATTATATGGTAAATGATATGCAGTCTCTTTGTTAGTTGCATATTCTGTATAAATTTGTTTACTATTCACATATGTGTATCATTTGCTTGATTAAGATGAGGACATCCTCGTCGAAACGTCGTTAAGTATTAAACTCAGCAATTGTGCATCCTTAAAATTGTGCCTTGTGTTAACATGTTTTATCATAATGTTAGAAACACACTGTTTATATTGGCAGGGGAAACTATACATTTCCCCAGTTACTTTAATGTTAATTCTCGTCTTTTTTACTTGCGCTAAATATTTCCCAAATTTCCTTTGGGTTGAACACTTTCTAGCACACATGGAACAACATTGCAACATCTTGCGCAACAGCATGCATGATGTTCAACATGGAGATCTTGTAATGTACAAACTGTAAGCAGCATACGAGTAAATGTAGCTATCCGGTGTACATTTTAACGTAACATGCCTCTTAACTCTGTTAACATTCCGCCTCAAAACCCGACAGAAAAAAGTAAAACAGAAATCGCCACAAGCAGATCAAAAATGGGGGTTGGGGTCAGTGTTAAAAAACATCGAACGCAATTTTGGCATTAAACACTACTCACAATATTTACTTTTCGCAGGTTTGTAAATGAAGAGAAGAAAGTGGAAGATATAATTATAATATGAAGGTGTCGGTCTCATTTGAAAACCGCTTCACCCCACTGCTACACTACCTTGACCAGCCAGAAGCCATGACCCGAAACCACCTGTGAATATACAGGAGGTTCTTGGGCGTAAAATCCTTCAGACGGATCCGTCAGTGTAGGTTCAGAACCAGCGTTTAATTCAGTCAAAGTGGGGGTTGGGGGGACATCAACGGGTGATCCAGACTGGCGGAGGTTACACCAGTCATTGAATTTTTCACTGTTTTGGCGGCTATATGAAATGAACTGAACTATGGGCTTTAACCACTGAACTCCGCAGAATCACATCAGATGTTGTTTTTTGTTTGGTTTTTTTTTGCTGGTTCAGCGTTTCCTCGAGGCAATACAGTGCGATTGAATGGCTTCCAGAGGACGTAAAATAGCCAAGATATTGGGTCAAACATAAGCACTATATATACAGAAGTCGTAGAAATTGCTTTCAGCGCACAGTTTATTTTGCATTTATATTTATTTGTTAATACCTTTCATAATTTTAGCATGTACACCCTTATATAAGCACAGGAATGGCCGGGTCCAAGTTCGGCATTGATGAGGAACAGTTAGACCATGTGGTGGATTTGATTAAAACCGAAAACCATATCAAAGTATTTGGACTTCATTGCCATCTAGGTTCCACTATTCAAGACCTAACAGCCATCAGGTAGGTATCAATATAATTTTACGACAATTTTGCAGTATTGATTAATTTTAAAGTGAAATAAATACTCTTAAATGGTTGGAAAAAATTACCCCTGTTTTGCAGATTGTGTTTGAAGAAGTTGAAAACGATGATAAATGAAGATCGCCAGTTAGACTGTATAGATATCAAGTATATTAATATTGGCGGTGGTCTAAATATAAACTATTTGGAACATGTAAGTGTCCAATTATATATTATCGTATTGACTATTTTTGAAATACAATATAGTTCTTGCCACGGTAAGATGACATACTATATCACGAAAAAACCCAAAGTATTCTCTTTCACAATATGTTAAAGGGCAAATCTCGATTATATTTTGCAGAATAAAGCTGCTTAATTTTGTGTTAAAAGCCCTTAAAATCATCTACCCTAGGGCCGAGCAATTAACTCAATATACGTGATAAGTTTTCAAACAACTTAAACCCGTCAGTTTTAACTGGACTCAATAGGTGTCCAAAAGGTCAATACACCATTCCTCTATATTTTTTGGTGTTTAAATTTCATACGTACACGGACTTTTATTTCTGAGACTGTTAAAATCGGGATGGTCCACCATTAGACAACAGTAAGAAAGTCAAAGCAAAAATCCTACCTTTATCAATTAATGACACACAGATTGCGTTTTAAAATCGGTCCTAACTTTAAGACCCATATAAATTAACTTAATCAGAATTCTTTAAGGTTGACGATACACGGTGTATTGATCACGAAGATGGTCAGATTTTAAAAGAAGTTGAAGCGAAGTTGAAAGATCTGCCATCGAATGTTTTTAAGACTGATCATCAAAAATACAAAAATAAACAGTGAGTTCTTTTCTTTCTAATTGTTAAAATCATTTGATTAGTACGAGTAAATGAAGTTGATGAAACCTTTGCACTCACACGATATGTACTGTATTACTCACTGAAATATATGCGGCGCTTTGCATAATCCGTTAAACATTTTCGCTTTGCGATACATGCACCTTTCAACATACAATGTCAGTGCTCAGGACTGTTGTTTGCATAATTCCCAAAGTTGATGAGATAAAAGAACGCTATGTTTCTTCATTTGATATTTAAATTCAATACAATTTTAAAAATATATTATTGATTTTTTTAAAGAATAAATCGCAGAGACTGGATAAAGAAACTAAGAGAACATGATATGTTGCCCGATTGCATACTAGAGGTATGTTTTAATAGAAAGCAATTGTTTGCCGTCTTTATTTAAAACTTCCCCCCATATATACTATTCAAAAAAAGTAGGGGATATTTGATTTTTAAGTGTTATTAAAGTCACCTAATGAAACTGACGAAGAAACAAATAACAAAATGAAATGAAGTTCACATTCATCGATTTATTCCAAATGATCGTTAGACTAAGTAAGGCACAGACTGACCATTATAAGGGTAAAATGATACCCGGGGTCAAACAGCAAAGTTACCACAGCATCACAACCAATTCAGTAACGGGTAAATCCTCCTCTGTTTGCCAAACAAGCATTGATCCGACGTGGCATACTCCTAATGAGACGTCTAAGGTCATTTTGGTCCAGATTGTCCCATTCCTGTTGCAACGCAGCAGCAAGTTATTGGACATTGGCAGGACGTTGTTGACGTTGACGTAACCTCTGTCCAAGCATGTCCCAGACATGCTCGATGGGGGAGAGGTCGGGACTCAGTGCTGGCCAAGGTAATGTGGTGATGTTCTGTTGTTGGAGGTAACCTGTAACGATCCTGGCCCTGTGACATCTTGCGTTGTCATCCTGGAAGATGAAACGACGGCCATGACGTCGTGCGAACGGCACAACATGGACTGCCAAGATGTTGTCCCGGTAGTACTGGCCTGTAACACACCCTGCAACAACATGTAAAGCCGTTCTTCCAGCAACAGTGATGCCTCCCCACACCATAACAGAACCACCCCCAAATCGATCATGTCTGATGACGTTAACGTCTTGGAAGCGCTCGTTTCGACGACGCCACACCCTCCTACGTCTGTCCAAAAAATCAACAGTGAACCTTGACTCATCTGAAAACATCACATTGCTCCAGCGTCGATTATCCCAGTGTTGACGATCCCTACACCAACGACGTCTTGCCTGAATGTGATGATCTCTCAAACAAGGGATCACGCGAGGACGTCGGGCGCGAAGGTGACCCCTATGCAGTCGATTCCGAATCGTCTGGCCACTCACTCTCACACCAGTGTCTGTTTGAAGACGAGCGCTGATCTGATTTGCTGTGATGACACGATTTCTCAAGGCCAAGGTACGGATAAATCGATCCTGGGCTTGAGTTGTCGCCCTTGGTCGACCTGAGCGTGGTCTGTCCTGTACAGATTGTGTATCACGGTATCTGGACCATAGCCTGCTTATGACAGACTGAGAAACATTCATCGTCCGCGCCACAACCGCCTGTGTTGTGCCGATCTGTAGCATGCCAAGGACACGTAACCTTTCATTTTGGGTAAGCCGACGCATATCAAAATTTGTTTTCTGGTCACTAAAACAATTAAACTGATGTTTCCACCCTGGAATTCAATGCCACAATGACTGTAACATTCAAAGTCAGAGTCGTGCAAATCTTGGGTTGGACCCCCATGATGATCCCAAGCATCACCTGCATTCCATGCGGTAGCTATTGGTGCGTTTGGGCGTCACATGTAACTGGAAATGTTTCTTCTGTTAGGTTCTATAGTGACTTTTTTCATAGTCATTTGCATATTTTAGTATTATGCCCCCAAAATCAAATATCCCCTACTTTTTTTGAATAGTATAGTAGTGACCGAATACTGAGAAGGCTATCAGCAAACGAGGCGATACTGCATGTTTCCCAAACCCTATTTCTGTGTGTAAACCATTTCCATCCAGGCACGAAAAATGGGCAGTGAAAGGTTTAGCCGAAAAAGGAAAAAATTCGATTGTAAATTTCTGTTAAATTTTCGGGCTAAGTTGCGAACCGTGTGCAGCCGTACGATTCACAGATCCCCAATGCTATGTGTGGAATACAATTGTTGTTTATTACTGAGCGATGTTTTGACTAATTGTAAACAAAAATAATAACAATGTTAATTAATGACGATGAGTCAGAAACTGGAGCCGATCTAAATTAATTATTGTTTAAAAAATGTATGGAGATGATCAAGGTTGATAAATGTGATCCCTATGATATCAAACAATATTATGTTACAGAACACAACACCATCTATAAAAGATCTGATTAGTACGGTAGAAGAGACTGGATTTCATCATTCAGTAAAGATCATAGTTGAACCAGGACGATCTATAATTGGTAATACAGCTGTTTTATTATCATCCGTATTAGGCTGTAAAACAAGTGGTAATATAAGGTTAGTTGGTTACGGTTGTTCATAAATTAATGACAGACAAGGGTTGCCAGGCAAGTATACATAAGCCTATAATTTCTGTTCACACTGCTCGCTGAAAAAAATGGAATACTTGTCGCTCTATTTCTCAATGTGAACATAGCCTCGGTCAGCCAGGCGTCCACTACGGTTGGCGTTTATTGGTGAAGAAGGTGGGAAAGTTCTTTATCTTGCTAATTGAGATACGAGCGTATTTCAGAACGAATCGGAACTACATCACCCGGGGTAACCACATAAAAGAAACGCGGTTGTTCAGAAGGTGTATTTGTCTTCCTACTCTAAACAATACAAGACGGGGATTCCGTGGCGTCGTGAGACGGTCGCCGCATGGGGTACGATTTTGTAATGGCGCCACAGTGGGGTTAAGTTACAAGCCACAGTAAGCACCAAAAAAAAAAAAAAAAAAAAAAAAATAAAATAAAATAAAACAGCTGCGGTAAGGGGAACATTGTAAGTTCCAAAGCAGTCCAAGGGGCAAAGCATCCGAACATGTTTGAGATTTTGCTGTTAAAATTGTTTACAATTCCACCAATAGCTATCCTAAGAGAAATGCTTTTGGAATTAGGGGATCGAAGATTCCTATGAAATGTTTCAGTTTTGAGCACATTTTCGCAAAAAAAGAATTGTTTTGTTTAAATTATAATTTCCATTGCCAACTCATATTTTATGAAGCTCTCTAAAAGACCAAATATCTTCAACTCCGAAAAATGTCGAAAAATTATATTATAGCTTCGAGTAGATGGAGTCTCGGCCTGTGAGTCTTTGAAAATTAAAGATGGACGCAAACGCGTTTTCCTGCTATTCAAGCCCGTAAATGCCACAACTTCAATGTGACCCAATATAGCCGAGTTTAGGTGAATTTCAAACAACCAATCAATCGTTAGTCTACGGAGCATCGCGGGGAATGGACGCCTCGCCCTCCCCGCCCGGGAATATTTTGAAAATTTAACTGCCGCATATATGCGTTTTTCTGCTATAGTTTTGCAAGCGAAATCCCACTCTATGCCGACCCCAATGCCAATCAACAAATCAACCAGTTGCAGCTACATTTACAAATGTCGCACAAAGCAGATTGACTCCAGACAAAATGTTTTTATCTGAAGCAATTAAGTACAAATTCGCGGTATTTATTTTGCAAACTATTAGTTTTTTTCACTTTGTCCCTCTGTCCAATTAGTAAAATTTCCCAAAAGTTAGGTGGGCAGCCCCCCCCCCCGCCCTCTGGCTTGTATGCACATGATGATATGATATTATATTATAGGTTTATAGTTACCACAGGATCTATGACAGAAGTTTTGCGTCCTAGTTTATATGATGCTTATCACCATATAGATTTCACCGAGCCAGTAGAAGATTCAGCAAGTCATCTGTATAATGTAGTTGGTCCGGTTTGTGAATCAACCGACTTTTTAGGAAAAGTTAGTTGTTTCTTTCTTGTTATTTGATTTGTTAAAACTTTCAGTGAACTGGGGTTTCTATCAGTTAAACTGGCAAACAGAAAGTAAGTGAAGATTGGATTAATTTCACGCGAACCGATTGATTGATAACATTTTTCAGGATAGACTTTAATTGTTTGGTAACATTTTTAGGGTATAATTTTAATTAATTGGTAATATTTTTCAGGATAGAATTTTGATTGATTGGTAATATATTTCAGGATAGATTTTTAAAGACTCCACACGAGGGCTGTGGAATAGCTGTGTGGGATGTTGGTGCTTATTGTAGTAGTATGTCTTCAAATTATAATTGTAGAGTAAGTTAGTTGTTCTTTTATATTAGCTGTAAAGGTATATTCCCCGGTTGTACGTGACAAGGAGTAGGGTCGCCTGTCCAACCTCGTGGGTTTTCTCCGAGTCCCCCGGTTTCCTCCCACTGCTAAAGACCCCTACGCGCAAGCGAATTATTGAAATAAAATTAAAAACCATATGTTAGTCCCGAAATGACCTAGTTTGTGTCGAGTGGACGTTAAACCCCATTCCTCTCTCTCTCTCTCTCGGGTAGGACGAAAGACCTGGGCCCCGTACAAATGGACAAAATTTCCCTCATAGCACACTGTTGGTGCAGAAAAGTAGGACGTTAATCCCTATTTCATTTCATTGCTGTTGCAATCTATCTCCAACTCGAGAAATTTTCACGTACAAGTAATGCTAGTTATCTCCCTTTAATATATTAAAATGTTTTATAGGCCAGACCGGCAGAAATATTAGTGGATGGTTCATCATGGAAGATAATTCGCAAACCTGATTCTTATGAAGAAATGATGTCTGCCTACGAATATCAACAATAATTCTATTCTTTGATTGTTTATAAAATTGGCTGTATCAGTTGTTTTACTATGTACAAGAATAAATGTCAAATATACCAATTATTGTGTGATTTTACAACTATATATAAATCAGACCCTTTTGTTTTATTACGATGATAAACGAAGTCTCGAAGTTTAACGAAAATATGGAGGACATTGTCTACTCCACTTAATATCTTAGTCATACGGTGGTCTAGAGAGTTGATTATGGGCTTGTCATGTGAATAAATGTCAAAATAATAATTCAAAGCCCGGAGAAAGACCCGCAATAGGCCTATTTAGCTATTAGATAATGCATCTTTAATATTGACCAAACATTGACGTTCGGGCCTTTCAGAAAAAAGATTAGATTGATCCAATATATTTTCTTTAATCCCTAATTTTCCATCTAAAGAAATATTTTCTTACTTTTGTTTAGTTTATATCAGGTTTATATAAGGGAAGTGAGATTTGACCTTTAACTGCGCGTCCTTAATTCCATGTATCTTTAAATACACGTGTGTCTTTTTGCGCCAACTGCAGCAATATTGATCAAATTTGGTAATGTGATAACTTAGTATGGTAATGCATGAGCCCGTGGGTGTGATTTTCTCTGTGTGCGGTGGGAATAAATCTTTGTTAATCTTGGAAAAAAATACTTTCTTCACTCAAACAGAAGAAGATTAAAATATATTTCATTCACTGATTTGGGTGAACTGCGAATTTCAGATTTTTAGAAACAACGAGGAATAGCGTCTCATTCAAACATTACTTAGATCATACTGAGACTAAGATGTGGTATTTTTGTTACTATGGTTACGATTCGAACCTAGAATATTCTGGTTGTTAACTATAGTGTCCTTTCAAAACAACCACAAGATTTTAAAAGGAAAAAGACAATATTTAGTTTGTTTATCTTTAATCAAGATATAATTAATGTGTTATAAAATATACATTAAAAACACCGCCTCCAAAATAGAAAGAGAAACAGCAACACAAAACAAAAACAAATAAAACTTTATGTATGTATTATAAAAGTATGAAAAATATCAAGAGTCCATTTATAAAACTACATCGTATTAGTGCTTATAAACATTCTTGCATACATAAGACTAGATAGAACACAATGAATGTGTGGTTCCCTTTATAATAATATCATAATTCAAAATCCTCATAGGTGTATCAAAAAGAATACAAAGTATTTTCAGGGTTAAATGTAAGTAATAATATATTTAGATTAACGCCTTCGCGGTTTCATGTTCTGAAAATATTACAGATCACTAAGTGTGCCTCGGAATTCATATGAATTCCTGCAGTCTTGTTACAGTTCCGTTGACTTCTTCCTCAAGAAAATATATCCTCAATGATAAACCGAAATATACAAATGCATCAATGCACCGGAGTTTAAGTTAATTACATTTCGAAACAGAAGAGATTTTCTTTTCGAAATCAAATAAAATTATACTCCAGAGACGTCATTTGCATGAGATCGAGTTGATTTGAATTTTAAGGAGTGTCCCCATGTATATCACCTAGGCTTCATGACAACCACATTTATCAGGAGATTGTTGAGGTAAAGAATAATATCAATGATGTTGAAAAACAAATAAATAAAAGTTAAATGCTAGAAATGACTGGACGCCTGTTATATAGACACTGTTAATATGCCATTTCACACACGAGCAACTAGCTGTAGAACGCACATTACTCCTGCTACGAAATCAAAAATAGCAGCTGCTATAGCCAAACCCATGGACCATCCAATACTAAATCCACGTTCCTCGTATTTGTCAGCACAGACAGCAATTCCAACCACTATGAAGAAAACTGAAATAAAGATATCAATGGAGGAAATGTGAAACATATAATATTTGATATGTTATATAATAATATGTTGGGGCCTCCTCCGTCGTGGTTGAGGTGGTCCCCGCGTTCTCCACCGAGAATTCTTTTTGAAATTCTGTTGCAGAAATTATAAAATCTGACGTCTTTTGACCGGTTACAATTTAAACCCATTCAGACCAGAATACTACTAGAAACAAGAACCAATTTGGTGCACGTTGACTTATATGTGAACAAAGATCTTGAATCACGGTTCCATCCACAAGAGTCACCTGTTGAACCCTCTCAACTCCGAAGACTTGAAAATATATATTGCTGAAAAACATTTCAAAAGACATTCGGCAAAAGCAATTTTCACGCGTAGCCCCGGATTTGCGTCAACCTTGATAATATGTCGATCGTTTTAAAATCAGTATCAGAGAACATACTTTGGTGTTCTTACTTCCCTTTAGAGAATTTGAGATCATATGCCTGCAACACATAGAATTTTAGAGCATCAATGAATTTTCCTTCCACTGACCTCTCGACATTCTCGGTATTCCCACTAATCTATGGGGCCATCCACGGGGGTTCAACGAAATAAAATTATCTGCCCTTGATCGTAGCTTGATTCTACGAACCAATCAAAAACAGTTCACATACCGTCTTGGCGTCATTGTTTACGTTCACCTCACTAATCTTAGTTGCAATAAATGTGAGTTACTTCCCTTCGCCCACTCGATTGGTCGAAAAAAATAGCTGAAGTATCAAGGGCGGATAATTTGACTATGTGTCTCCCCTGTGGATGGACCCAGCGGTTAGTGGAGTAGAACGGAACAATACCACTAGGGATACCGAGGATGACCACTCGGTATCCTGCTGGTTTGGCTTGAACAGAGGTGTCATTTTTGAGGATCTAACATGCAGCCATGTGGATATAGAGCCAACTCGCTGACCTAGATAGCTGTTTAATTATAGAGGGAAACGACACAGCGGCCAGTAAGTCAAGAATTATACAACCAAACGATATCTCACTGTGAGGTATGAGGTAAGAACATTACTGTATGTAAGCCATGTGGCGATTACGGACTGTTCAGTTACTTAACATGTCGACAGCTGAATTATAATTCAATTCTTAATACCTTTCATTCAAAACATTTATACATCGGATCTTATCAAATCTACACTATTATTTTCACACAAATCAAAACGGTTCTACTCTTTTAGTGACATTCATTGGTTTTTTTTTACTTACCAGATACAAAGATGAATACTATAGTGACAATAAGAGCATTTCTTCTTCTACACGAATCAACAAACATGTATAATAGGAGAATAAGTAGAGATAATAACAAAGCAATAAGGCCCAGGGTTTCCATGGCCTGGGTAGCATGGTGGAAATCTGAAAGAAACAAAGGTTGATTTGATCAAAAAGTGTAAAATTTAATGTTTATGCGAAGGTATCCATTGACAAGAACCCAGGGTTTGTGCAGCAATTCCTCTGCTGTGGGTTTGGGTAATCTTCATTCTCTGGACAATCATTATGATGCCGAGTTTTAACATGGAATTTAACCAACACTCGTGAAAAATACTTTACTCTAAGCAGGCCAGTGGTTGGGTTTTACATAAATAGGTGAGTGAGGTTTTCATATCCAGATGGTTGACTTATATTATGTCAAAGTCTAAAATATGTGTTATTCTCTTATGTTAAGACTTTCGTCATTATGTAATTTTGCACACATAACAAGACCGTCATGGGCTGTCTGGTGCGAAAAAACAGCACAGTTATTATTACTATATTTGACAAAGAGAGGTAAGATGGCGGGGTGAAATCATTACAAAAGAATCCAAAGTAAACTTAAAGTTACAATTTCATATTTTCTAAGAAAGTCAAAACTTAATTATTTCTATGTCTTTCGCTGAATAGGTTGTCAACTCACTATTATACGATCATAGGTTATCTTTCTGACACTTACAAATCTTAACACCAGAAATAATAACACAATTACCTCCCAATTACCTCCCTTGTTTTCCTATTCCCCACTATGGAATAACTATCTTCAAACGTTTGAATTTGAAGTTGAAAATGATATTTTTGCCAATTTCTTAGCTGGCAATAGTGAATTATAGGATTAATAGGATTATTCTTTAACAAGGTAGGATTGTTTATAGATACCATCTATTTTTAATAGGGCTTTATTTTAATACATTTTAAAAATATAACTTAAAAATATGAAATTGTAACTTTAAAATGGACATAATTAAAGTGACAATCGATTTGAATAAATTTGGACCATGTGTTGTTTTAGTTTCTCGCTAGAAGTTTCCTATACAATCATGATGGGCGTGTGGCAGATTCATTCCTAAACTAAATGTGTATCTATTACACAGTAGATAACATAGACTGTGTCGGTGACAAAATTGGGTGTGACATTATCTTTTTTATAACAATGTAATTGCATAATCTAACAAATCTTACATCCGGGATTCCACCCTGTTGTGTTCAGTAATTTAAGTTTATACTTCTGTCATAATAAACCCAACCACATATTGGGACATCCGAAATATTATTTCAAAAATAATAATAATAAAAAAATAAATATGTACAAGTCCAGAATCAGCTAATCTTGATCACAGCTTTCTTTGGCAGTCTGGGAGCCGCGGTGGCTCAGTGAATAAGACGCTGACTCGCTAACCAAGAGGTCTGGGGTTCGCGTCCTGTGTTGGTTGAGAAAGTTCCTCAGGATTTTCCGGCTTAGTTTCCCCTTGTCAGTGGGTGGGTCTAGTTATTCAGATGGAGCGAAAAACCGGGGCCCTGTGCACACATTGACGACCACCTAAAATAACCCTTGATAGTTGAAATTCGAAATAAGAGTAGGCAGATTTTCCCTCATAGCCCACTGCATGGCGTATGCCCGATGATTAGCCCAGTCGTAGCAGAAAAGTAGGACGTTAAACCCCATTTCATGTCGTTTCTTTGGCAGTCTGTTTCTCACCTTTCTATCTACAAATAGAGAATCGGGTTCAGACCTGCCCCTGCATTTGATATCTTACTTACGAACATGACATAACAGGTCTACTTAGCCTCGGTTAAATGTTATTTTTGAAAGAGATTTTCCACGTTACAGGCACATGTGGGCTATTTAACCTCTTTCATGTCTTTAAGATTATTAAAAGTTTCAACCAGAATGTTTGTTTTATTGTTAATGTGAATTTATGATAATTGCGTTATCATGGAAACCTTCTTTAAATTGCCATATATTTCTTGTTTGGCCAATCTTTGTTTTTCTGGCAATGTCATAATTTTCTGCACCAACCGGGATGATGCAATGGTATACACCATGCGGTGCGCCATCCGGTTACTCTTTATCGAAATCCAACGATCAAGGGTTCTTTTGTGTTGTCGCCAAGTACACGAACCTTGGTTTTTCGTCCCACCCGACGTCTTATGGTTGTGAGCCAACTTTGTTATTTTGCCCTTACTAAGTTGGCGGGATGATAGCCAAGCAACTGCGTTTTTATTATATCCCAAGTTTTGTCTTGGCCTTTGGAATGCTTTCTAAAAACCATTTTAAGTAGCTGGGTACCGGTACAAAGTAGGCCTACTTATTTACATGACAGTTATTCATTCAGAAAAATGGCAAAATTCCATTGTACTTTATGTGTATACAATCCACAAAGAACGTATAAATGAAATTATGAATATTGTATTGTATAATGTATATTCCAGCCATTTTTCTTGCAAAAATGTAAAGGCAATGAAGGTTGTTATGTTATTTGAAGAAGTGGGTGGGAAGGTGAGAAACCTACAGTAGCCAAACCGGGTACAAAGTGATACCGCCACACCGGACTGGTTTCGGGTTAAATGATGTTTCCGTTTTTATGATTTACTTGGCTGTTTCTCCACATTCTGGTTGCTAAAATTGGTTTACGGATTTATTTAATTACTGTACTGATAATTGTACTCATTACCGATGTTCAGTTAAAATCATTTGAAACATGAATATACTTGGGAACTAACATCGAGGGTGGTTTAGATATCAATGACTAGAACGATGAAATTAGGATATCAAAAGCGTTTGAACACGCGCAACGTGTTCTCGTTACACGTACACTGTAAAAAATACCTGTTTTGTTTTTTTTGGTTTTTTTAAATCCCTAATTTTTGGTATTTAAAGGAAATTATTCCTATTTATATATCACAGAAATATCTGTGATTTGAGATAAATAACTCGTATTTTTACCATAAAGACTAGTAATATTCCAGAATAAATTGTATATTATCTGCACTGTTCTGCTAATTCACAAAGTTATACTTATGGCGGTGAATGTTCGATTGTGCGCTGACAATGCAAAGGTAAGTCTTGCTAATAATATGTATGTATGAAGTCAAATTTACAGCATAGGTAGATATCATTGGATTTAGAGACACGACCTGTCTGTTCAGTTTGCTGTTTGATGTATGTTGTATTGTAGAAATACTTCAAATGGACCATGTAGACAATATTAATGTGAAAGAGACCCGATGGCTCAGTGAATATGATGCTGACTTATTAGCCATTAGCCAAGAAAGATACCCATGCTTGTTTTGCAACTTGTCCTTCCTTGTCAATGATGCAGGTTGGAATTTGTCCTGTTTGGAGAAACAACTGGGACTCTGCGTGCTATTGACAGTACATGTTAAAGAGCCATAAGCCCTAAACAGTTATCTCCGCAGCCTTGGCAAGATGTCGTCGATAGGATACTTCGTGACATATGCAGGAAAGTTAACAACTTTTATTTTCATGTTTCTGTATGTGCTTCGTCATTTTGTTTCCGGTTTATATTGATGATAAAAATAATTGAAAGAAGAAGTAGTAAACCTAGCCTTCAGAAATCACAAAATTTGAAGCCACGTAAGATTCCTTGCTCTTAATTTCTGTTCATTTGTAATATTTCTATAAATTGACTGACTGAAAATTTACATTTACAGAAAATAAATTATTTTTTATATTTAACCAAAATAAGTATGTCAAAGAACAGAAAATATTCTGGCAGCAGATTTACCAGATTTTTTCCCTGTAATTTTACAGAAACATGCTTCTGTGACGTAACAGATATTGTCTGTTGGAAAAACAGAATAATTTTTTTTTTTTTACATAATTATTTTTTACAGTGTACGCACATAAACAAACCAATTACTATTATATATATAACGCATGGATATAAACAGCTTTAAACCATTATCATACTCAAATTATCCTGGATAAGGTCACATAATTGAAATTCTTGAAAACAAAAGTGGGCAAAGTGGTATCAAATGTCTAAGAAAAATGGTTATTTCCAGTAATTATTCAAGACAGTTAAACATTAACACCAGACTGGCAATACCGGGATGGATTTTGTCAAATCATGGGTTGTATGTAGGACCGAAACCCAATGGTGCTTTTCATCCACATCGTGTTCACAGTAATTACAAAGTTTGAACTTTAAATTTTTACTCATTGCCAGTTATTTTTCGTCTTGAAAATACGACGGTCGTAATAACTTTCGAGTTTGCAAGTTAAAAGATATCTAGATAATTAGGGGACTATTTTCAAGTCCAAAACTCTTTATAACGTATACGCGAACGTAGCTTAAACCGCATTCATACCACCAGTAAATGTCAGCTTTAGAATATATAATTATTGATTATTACATTTATGTAGTTAATGTATACACTTGTGTTATTAGTCTCCAAATAATAAAAATTTTTGAATTTATTCGATACACTGTATTAGCTAATTAAAATGTCAATGGTAATACCGAACGTTTATCCTAACTTATCTATGCATCTGTGCATAAATTTCACCATGGCTTACAACAACCAGATGGATTTCTGAAGGATGGGTATGGTGAAGTGAGGTCCCAAACTAAAATGGCCTATACATGTCCGTGTCGTGGTGTGTATTGAATGCACCTTGTAGCTAAGTTTTACCACCAGTCTATATAGCTTTTCACGTTAGTATTCTCTTGTAAGGTAACGGGTGCATTTACAAGACACTAACAACCCATGAACTTAGTATCGAAAATAATTAAAATTTGATATAATAGGCCTCTTCCTAACGCTAACATGAGTATCTGACAAACATAAATATCGGACAGTTACTTTCGCCTCTACATTAGGTAATCAAGAGCAATAACCCTGACATTTTTTATATAACTCCCTCGTTTCATGAACATAAACTGTTTCAACATTCTGTATAAATTTCTAGAAGATAATTTTATCCCCCAGAGCCGCCACACGATTTTTCTAAGTGACCAAGAGCCATAACCCTCTTGATATAACTTCTTAGTCTCATAAACGCATGTACTGTGTATAGATTTAAAGTTAATCGGATATTAACTGTAGCCCCGTATGCGCCCATAAGCAATTATAGACGAAGGGTGGACGGACCGATGTGTGCGCATAAAATTAAAAACAGATTGGGAGTTAATAGTACATACAACATGTGGCTGATTTATACAACAAAAATGGTGGCAAATTTCTTTACCGTTGTTTTCTTTCGAAAGAAAATTTTGAACAAATGCATACCCAATACATAAAAGAGTTTTGAAGGAAACATTGCTTTTAAGTGATTTGGAACTCTTGCTTTGTATACGTATCGTGTGTTACAGGCATTCAAGGTTTACCGGTTCCACCACCTGAAGTCAGTTTGACTTGGTGTAGAAGACGAAAGGTGTCAGGTTACTAGAGTGGCATACCAAATGTAGGAGTTTACTACATAAACATGTGCGGGTGTTTCTTGGAAGGCGTTGTTTCTAACAGATGCGCATAATATAACCATAGAAAAATTAATTTGCAGACTACCTTGTTTCATTAAAGGAAATTTAGGATCGTTAAGCCAAACTTGACAAAAAAACCCGGATTCCACAAAGGTCCATGCTCACTGCTTATCTTTTGAATAAAATTGATGATAATTAACAAAATATTTAGTTTCCATCCGATTCAAAGCTACACAAAAATCAACTTACCGGTACCCCAACGGTAACCAATTCTACCTTCGTTACATGTAGATCCTCCACATTTCCTATATTTCCACAGACCAATAGATTGATAATTTTGTCTATATGTGTGTGTCATCCATGCTGAAGTAGCAAATGCAACGATAAACAAAATAACTGCTATAATTAAAGTAGCAAGGGCTACTTTCAGCCATATTGACGCGCTTCTGAGACTAGCCATGTTTAATTTAATGTGAATCTATCCGAGACCCGAGACGTGTAGCTCGAGTACTGCTATAGAACTAATGGGCGGTGGGTGGATTAACTTTCACCAACTTTTCAAGACTTGCAGCCTCGAAATCTATTAACCAATCACCGTTTGAGTTATCTACCATCCCAGTCATTGCCATAGCAACAGGGGTTAACATATCACAAATTTAGGCTGGTATATTACTACTGTAGTGGGAAACGGAAGATGCTTTAAGGATGACGGTCGACTGTTATAAATCGTGGTACCTGTAGTATCAGGATTACCACTCTTTAAGTTCTAAAAATAGACCCGGCATTACAGGCGTTTCTATTATTACTTCATCTGGTTTCTTAACGTGACTTTAACTTTCACGCAAACATGATTTACCTGTTTTTATTAATCTTTTGTTTATTCAGCGTTTTCGTACGATGTATTAATAAAATTTGTAGGAAAGTAAGACGCTAAACCGCATTTTATTTCTATAAAATGTATGTAATGTTTTTGGTGGCCCAATGGGTTAAAACAAGATTAACAAGAAACTAGTTACTACTCTAGGAAGACAGACCAGCAAAGATTATCTCTATTATCAGTCAACCCGAGTGTCGGCTTTTGAAGAAGAAAAAATGCAGCTTAGAGACAAAAAACTGGAAACCCATACAGCTATAACCCGTTCAATTTGATTAGATTAATATCATTGACGATATAAATTACATGGCTGGTAATTTAGAACTTTATTGCATTGCAGTTTATGGTATGGTTAATAAAAATGTTGTAATAAATAAACTATAAAATGAACTGTCTAACAACATTTGGATCCAAATAACTGAGTAACTATCCAGATTATCTAGTTATGTTTTTGCGGATGGCTAGTTAAACGTTTTCATTCTAATCACATGATCGTCACTTGGCAGCTAGATGTAATTTGCAGTAATCTGAAATGGATTACTGGATATATGTAGTAGTCCAAGGATTAGTTAACCGAGATTTGGTGGTTATCATTTCGTCTGATGATTAAGCAAATGAAATAAAATACTCCTGATCCATTTCTTACTGTCAATGTAACCACTATCAAATTTGTGTGCAGAAATCTGCAATTTGTGGGCGTTAACGAACAGTCGTTAATACTTCAGGAAGGAAATGAACCATCAAGCCAAAAAGTGCGAAATAGATCTAATTTCCACTCCCATACGTTAACATACTGTTATTTCAACTAGATTTTCTATTGAAATGTAGGAAAATAGCACTATTCAAGAGATTGTGTTAAACAATTACATCGGTTTGATTTTCTGATGTAGGCTAGCAGTAACAAAATACACAATGTATAACTCAAAATGTATAAGTACTAGAAAGTTATAATAACTTTTACAAGTTGCAACGAGGTCCGTCATCGTAGTAGAGGAGGTGTGATTAATTTAACGTTGCCAGATTGGATGACCTTGAAAGAGATTTCATCAATGCAATGAAAATAAAGCTATAAAAATTGCGTTTGTTTTTAAGTGATGTTTGCTGACTATCAAGGGAAAATCACATATAAAGGACCTTAACATTTCTAAATTAATGTGTATACACACAATTTATATTAAAGACTGATTAAAGGCGACGAGTTCTGCAGACTTGCATAAACGCGTTGCTACTTTGCAAATACATCTCAGTTCTACACATAATCCAGGTTTTGGCAAAATCAGGTCTGATAAGCTCTATCTAGTGTTAATATGGGAAGTGTAATCAACCATCATTAATGATTACTGGAAGCAATCATTTAACGTAGATATTTGATACCATATATACGTGACTCTTTTATTTTCAACTTTGTGACATCAAAGAAAGTCCGACGAAGGTAATCGTCTAAATATAGCAATGGTTACAGTCGCCATGGTCTGTTTGAAAACAATGGCTTTTCATGGTGGTGCGACTAATACAAGTTTATTGCATAAAAACGTCCACGGGGAGCAGTTCCATTTGGCTCCTACAAACTGTTTTATCCAGTTCTTTTTCAACGTTATGTACATAAAATAAAACCCGGGTTTTTACATTTACGCCAGTTTTTAAATTTATAGTAATCTTATGAATGATTATAGCTCACTGGTCGGTCGTACGGGCAGGTTAATTGCGCTTTGGATCCGGGAAAATACTAGGATGGCGATACAAAGTAGTTTTAATGCTGCCTTTGCTGTACGAGACTGTGAAACCCATCATGTACTTTTAGAATAGACTGTTCCGCCATAAATACTATATTTATACCATAGCCCACGATCGTTGTATCTTCCGACTGCCATTGGCATCTAGGTTACTGAGTATACGCGAGGTGTAAACATCATAAATATATAGGCCTACTGTACCAGTTTATCAAGTAATGGAGACTAGGATTTCAAATCAACACCATACTTCTGATATATTAATACACAGCTGCTAAGACATCTTGCTGACGATTTCGTGTGTTTGACATACATAGTGCAAAGTTAGAGAAACATATAATGTAATTTTGGAACCAATTTATAATTTTTACCCCACTCCAATCCCCTCTTGGTGCGCCTGGTTATATTTTGTAAATCAACCCAATATATTGAGTTTACACCTCGCATTCGTGTAAATCTTATTTATCGTGTTCCTATAATATTTACTAATTCAATATAGTGTGAACTATTATAAAAATTCTATTCATAGACCAAAATGTATTGGCTATAAATAGTGACATACATCGTATGAGCCATTGCATGCTTACTCTTTCTAGAGCACTTGACACAATGTCTAAATATGGCTAATACTGTTGTAGTAATACGCATAGGCGTACGAGCTGGGGGGGGGGGGGGGCTGGGGGGGGGGCACCAAATGCTGGGAAAATTTGGGCACACAATTGTACTTTGTAAAAGTTGTATAAAAAAATATTGTGTTCTTGAATGCGTCCAATTTAACAGCGAATTTAAATTCAGTCGAGTGTCTATAGTTAGGCAATTAAATAGAAATCTTAAGACTCGAACCCTCTATTGTTTGGAGTACAGTAAGCCACGAATTACAGTTACATAAACAACTGTTTTTAGTTGTGTATATTACAAGTAAATAAAATTTAGTTCTCTTTTATTGATGATTTAGAAATTAAGAACTTATTTATCGCAAAAGAGATATTATGATTATTATGTAACATACTAAGAACCTAACTACATTTTTGGGGCACCAGCCCCCCCCCCCCCCCAGTAAAGAATTTCCCCGTACGCCTATGGTAATACGCTGTAGTAATATGCTTCAAATCGAAAAAGTTACTCGATTTGGGGTAGTAATATGCTTCAAATCGAAAAAGTTACTCGATTTGGGGTTTCATAAATATACTAAATACATGAACCTACTACGCTACGTTTTAGTTTTACTGACATGATTTTGACAGGAAACTTTAAGGAAGCAATATGGAAAAATAAAAACCGACCGCCAATGCCAATCCCATCCAACCATCTGATGATAAAGGATAAAGCACACGATCGTGACACTTTTCCCATAAAAAAGTGTTGTTTTACAATTTTTTTTATATAGCTCAGCACCCCTACCTTTGCACCCCCCCCCCCCCTGTTTTTTCTGAACATCCTTGCGTAGTCATTATTATACAACACATAGTCGTAGACCATAACCAAAATCGTTACCAAAGGAACGATAATATTTGTGTGGTTCAAGAGGACGAGTTACTTCCATTACTGAAGCATATGTTAAAAATACTAACACATAAACTTGTTCTATTCACTTCAGGGCCGTAACCACCTCAGAGCAACGAGGGTGGCGGGAAGTGTTCTTGGGAGTTCTGCAATGTATATGTATATCTATTTTTTTTTGTGGTCGAAAAATTTATCACGGCGGGGTGGGGTGGGGGGTGAAACTTTTTAGTTACGGGCCTGATTCACTTGTGCGAATAAAAATGTCTCATGCTTTATAGTTTTCAAGCCGTGGAATGGTGAAATAAAGTTTTGAAAGACCACAGTCAATATAATGTTTCATAGTACAATAGCGATTGACCCATAAACGTCCTGTCTAAAATATTCTCTGAACTAAAATCGTGCCTCGGGGCTTTCCGGGATTAGTGGCCCCAAAGCTTAGCTTCTATAGTTTCAAAGTACATCGGACCAAGACTTGGGATGCGTGGGCGATCAGCTGAAAATTGATAGTCTGATTAACACAAAATGTCGATCATTTTGAGGCATGCATACGGTTAGACTATAGCATACGGTATTTTTTATTTCTGAGGTTACTTGTTGAGCAATACAAATGGGGGAAGTTTGCCAGGAAGACGGCGTTTCCTGCTACTCTTCTTTGAATTCCAACTGCCAGCGGTTCCTTTAGGTGTATAAAAATTGGCACACGAGCCAGCCTCGGTTTAATCTTATCAGAACGACTTGGTAGTGGACATGCTTTTCTTGTCAGCCCCACGGGCGCCATTGCATATTCATCAGACAGGATCATATTTGTCAGCGGAAATATAACATCTGTCACGTCTATTAAGAGAAATGTCGTCTCTTTTTGTGTTTATCCCCGATTTTGAATGACCTTTTGCCAAATACAATAAACCCCTGGAGATAATTCACCCACTGGAACAAACCCATACGCTAATGTTTAAACTGTATTACTGCAGTTGTATTTTGGCACACAATGGGTAATGTATGCTATAATTCCTAAAAAAATTGATAATCTTTTGTTTCCAAAGGCTGTGACATCAAACGACAAACCGTTGAATGAATTTCTCAACTGTTAACAATTTACACTGAAAACTGATAGAGGAAATAATTTATATGATCGAATAAATCTGCATACCAAACTTTGTAGAGACCAGAATGCAACCATGGGGTGATGTAAATGCCAAAAGAGCCAACGATAGTTCCATGTCTGTTTCCTGTTTAAACTGTTTCATGACATTGACACTGTCATGTTCGTTTTGGCCTACTATTATTTCGTTCTTTAACTGACAGGGGATCTTTAACATGTTGCCAATGGTATACTCGTGCCTTCCATAGACACCTTTCCCACATCACTGACAAGGAAGCGGTGGAATGCTCGGGTGCTAGCGACGAAAACATTGCTAAAAACGTTGAGTTATTCTAATGTACATG